CAAGGGTAATATAAAAACAATACAAATAAACCAAAAACAAACCATATACTGTCAAGATCAAACCAAGTTCATATATGAATCAACGATAACAAAAACAAAAACATAATCATAATTAAAATCAAATAGTTTCACTTTCTCAGGTTCAATAGTTTCAAAGATCTCATAAATTAGCATCATCAACAATCAATCTATATAAGTTAGGTCCAGCTCTCGCTTCAACCAAAATCTTCAAACTCAAATGCATCTGATTGAATCGAGCCCGATTATGTCCCTACATCTTCTTTCATTCTCAAATCACCTTCACGCAACAAATAAGAAATAAAAAATAAGATATTATTCTTTGCTTTCAATTAAATAATATATTCAAATTTTCAATGTCAACTTACAATGTCCTTGTTGATATAAATGATATATTTTGTTCTTCTTCAACTGGTATTGCATTCTCTTTGTATATCTCATTTTCAAATCCTGGCAAGTCAAGTTCTGGAGTTGTTTCATTCAAGTATCAAAAATCAATCTTATTCAACACAATGTAGTCCAAGAGGGCATAATATCTTTTTTAAAGTTGAAACCTAAAAAATGAATAAATAATTTTATGTTCAGATTATACATAATACTTTAAATTGACACTTGATATATAAAAAATTTAATGTTAGATCCATTACCTATTCTTTAAAATTCAGATTATATCGAACATATACAAGATCGTTGAGATCGTTGATCGCTCCAAATTTCCGTCTCTCTTTGAGTGGATATGTTCAAAAACACTCCAATTTTCCTTTCGCATCCGGATGAAGAGATGTTTGGCTGAGAATATTTATAGAACTTTCTGCACAGTTAGAGCACTTGATCCAAACATCTTCCACCACTCATCTACATATTATCAAGCTTGAGAGTTTAGTGAATAAGGATATTCGTATAAGTATATACACATGTTGAAAGTAAAAAAAGAGAATTACCAGGTGCATTTCTTTCGCCAGCCTCACCATTTCACAACACATCAAATCAGGAAACAATTGGTTTTGTAAAAATCTTTCATCAAAGCAATTTGCTTATAGCCAGGTGCACCAAAAGAATAATTAAATAACCCTCACTTCATATTTCACTTCAAACACCATATGGTACGGCCTCATAGATAGGCTATAATTGTCATTCTTAACTCGCACACAACCCTTTGGCAAATTTTACTCTTCCAACCTCTCTGATTATAGAAACATATTTTCCCTGAGCTTGCCACATTCAGTTTAAGTGATCAATCCTACTCTCCCCAACATGATGGAATGTTGCCATTTAGTTTGCTTGTTAAGTTTGATTTCTTTAATATTTCATAGGTGATTTATTATATATTCATTTGTTATGTTATTATGCCATTACTTATATTTAGTATGCCATGTACTTAATGTTCATTCATATATGAAAGTGGTTTTATAATCCTTAACCTCTATACAACTACACAATGCCATTATTAGATATTCTTCGATCAAAATGGTTGTTGAACGTCTCATGAGAAGTCTTGGTGCAAGGAAGTGGATCTGAGGTATGCCATTTTTTTGCTTGCTTGTCTCAAACTTTATAATTTTCATCAATTTTTGCTATATATTTATAAATAGTCGTGTCATTATTATAATATTTAAATATAATAAATATTTATTACTTCATCCGGTTCGATTCCGGTCGAACCATCAAACCTCTAACCCTCCTTCCGGTTCATTGACCGGTGCGGTTTTAAAAGCCTTTGTTTTACTTTTACCTATATTAAAATAAGCTAAAAGAGGGGGAAAAAAACGAGAGAGAGAGAGAGAGAGAGAGAGAGAGAGAGAGAGAGACACAAGAGAGGGGGAGAGACTATGCGTGTGATGGAAATAGAGAGAGAGATATAAATGCCAAAGTAGCAAAAAGATTAGGTGATTTTGATGTGTCCCAACTCCTAGTAGGACACATCTTAGCTCTCAAAACATTTTTTTTTAAATGAGCAAATTTTGTTGCCAAATGCCAAACAATACAAAAAAACAAACTATTTAGTGATAATTGAAAAAAAAAGAAATAAGAAATTATAGTTAGAGCTTATATAATATGTATGATGCAAATTTTGATTTCTTTTTGGAGAGTTTTCTTAAATCTTTATTTTTCAAATCATAACTATAATTTTTATTTGACCACTTTTTTATTACTTTTAATTATTTTTTGTAATAAAAAGATGCTTTATATCGCATCTTTTTAAAAAATTAGTGGGATTTACATACATACCATTTTATTTCATGCTACTTACATATCTAACACTCAAAATTTTAATATTACATTCTTATCACTCATATAAAATTTTCATATATCAAATATATCACTCATAAATAGAGTAAAAAAGTGATGTCAAGGCCACCAATGGGGCATCACTAATATTTGATGATGAGATGGCAATAGCAGTGCCGTTATGCGGCGTTGGTCACTGAAAGTAACATTGCCAAGATAGTAGTCTATAATAATAATTTACAAAAAAAAAAACACACACACACAAAATAGTTCAAAGTTATTTTAAGTATTTAAAAAAATGATTAATTTTTAAAATAATTTTTAAAAAAATTAAACCAAACAAATATATTTCTTTTTAATAAAAAAATATGAATAATCCCAATTAGGCCCTAAGAAAACACCAAAATGAAAGCTCTGGTAAACATATTAACAACAAATGAACAAATATTGACATCTCCAACCTTCTCTATATCTCATTTACAATAATAATAATAATAATAAAACAAATAAACAAACTTATCATAATAAACAACAAACAAACAAATACGAAAGCAGAAAATATCGCCCTTCTTATTCTTTCTGAAAATTTCAACCTACTTATTATAAACATCTACAAATATTTTTTTATAGGGCAATGTATGTAAATATTCCATTGTGTCTCTGTATGATGCAATTTCAAACCTTTTTTTTTTGGGAAAAAAATTGTATATTATAATATAATTATCAGAACGAGCTTACAAATTATTAAATTTGCTTTGAGATATATTTTATAATAAAAAATTATAATAATCAGTAATCTCAAAGCAAATTGAATAATTTTAAGCCATTAGAATATAAATTATATCAAAATATATTAATGCAATTTTTTCCATTTTTAATTAGCAAAGAAGCGACTCAAAGAACATATCATCTCTCGGCTCCTCCTTCGCCACCGGGAACAAATTCCCGGTTTGCTTCTGCTGTTGCTGCTGCTGCTGCTGCTGCTGTTGTTGTTGATGATGATTCATATAAGAATTCGAAGGATTTCCAAATCCTGAAAAGCCGTCGTCATAGTGGCCCTGATCGGTCGGTAACATTTCAAGCGCGAATGGTGAATGAGAGTGCTGAAAGGTGTCGAATCTTTGGCCAAAGCGAGAGTTTGCGGCGACGGCCGGCGACGGCCGGATTGTGGTGGTGATGGCCTGAGCATTCTCCAACGCCGGCGGTCGATTCGCAGAATGGTTGCTGCTGCCACGAGCGGCGGGGATATCATGGTTGTGTTTGCCCTCGTAGGTGGTTATGACTGCCCTCAGATCATACGATGCCCTCTCAATATGTTTACGAACAGGGCATCCGACTGTGGTGCACTTGTAGTAGCTTCTGTAATTTAAAACAATACAAGTTTATTAAAATTTAGAAATAAGATATCCAGATTAAGTAAAATTGGATTTTTTAATAATGTTAATTAGGTAATTACTTACCTTGGGTTTGGATTCCCCTTCACTACCTTCTGCCCATACTTTCTCCATCTATAGCCATCGTCGAGAATGTCTATATCGCTCGTGGTCTGCACCACAACTCTGGGCTCCCTCACCGTCTTGTTTCCGGCAACGGATGCCCCTTCGTTCTCTCCTTCTTTCTTCCTGTAAGAACAAGTTTCAAACTTTTAATCAATGGCGTTTTAAAGTTCGGATTTTGGTTACAAGTTCGAGAGTTATGTACCATCTCTTAGCATCAGGCTCTTCCTCCTCGAACTCCTCTGATGCACGATTAGTCCTTTGAATGTTCCTATCAACTTCATCCTCACCGAAAGATACCGACGAATTATCCGGCGTAGCCACCGATTCCATCGCCGTCCCCGACCGGACGCCATGGGAGTGCTCCGAAGCTTCGGAAGCCGCAGCGGAGGAGACGAGGGGTTGAAACGACTGAGAGGAGGAAGAAGAAGAGTTTCTTCGAGTTGATTGTGGCTTGGGATGGTTATGAGTGCCTTTGTAGACTATCTCTGTGATTTGGCCTTCGAGGTTCTTTTCAACCTTCTTCTTCGTCGGGCAATTGGGAAACGTGCACTTGTAATAACTCCGAGGATTCTCGCTCCCTTTTACTTGCTTTTGCCCGTATTTTCTCCAGTTGTATCCGTCTTCAGACTTTTTCTGCTCTTTAATAGTGTTATTGGCTTGGACGTTCGGTGCAGAGAGCTCAGTTTTGATATTAGGTTCTTGGTAGTTCCATGATTGCTGGCTTCCCTTGAAAACATTCAGTCTCTGAAAAAAAAAAAAAAGGAATTTAGCATAATTTTGTTTGATTCAAGCTTCAATTGATCACTGAGGGGGCTGAGATTTGTACATACCTGCTGAGTCTGGAAGGAGAAATCCGAGAAAGCTCTGTTTACATCTTTCTTGTCCTCATAATGGTTACCAGAATTACCACTCCAGTTAAAAGCTTTGAGAGGAAAAGTCCCAGTGGTTGGAGAAGGGAGAAGCCGCTACAATGAAAAGGAAAATTATAACTAAAAATCAGTTGAGCTCAAACGCTTATCCTCTACTAATAAAAGAAGCATCTTTTTGTTCTATCTGCTTACGTTGTTTGAAGAGAGAAGCACAGGTGAGTCGAGGAGCTCGGCGGGGCTGAGGCCAGCGGGGATGGCGAAGTAAGAGGAAGGAGAGAAGGGAGGAGGCGAGATGGGAAGTGAGGGAGGAGTTATGGACTTGAACTTTGGTATTCCTCCTCCTCCTCCCTTGTCGCTAAATCCTCTAACCGACTTCGAAGTTTCGTCGGCGGTGGAGGCGTCGTCGGCGCCACAAAGCAGGTCTGAGAAGGACGTTGTGTGGGGGGTAGAGAAGGAGAAGATGGCCGAAGAGGCCTCGAAGCTCCCGGCAGAGGAAGACATGGAAAAGGAGAGAGGAATATGAAGCAGATGGAGATTAAAACGAGTTGATGGGAACCGAAGAAATAGGATTGCAGCATCGGGCTCTTTCTAAGAAGAAGCGAGAAGGAAAAGCTTGACTAATGGTGGTCAAAGCTCGTGTGTTTGACTGGTCGTCACGAGGCGGCTTGGCTTATGCGATCAGTCTAATCTGATTTTGAGTCTTGATCAATTTGGGTTCATTAGTAATCTCTAATTGTTCATTAATAGCTATAATGCCCTAACATCATATAATAATAATAATAATAATAATAATTGTTGCGTGCTAGAATATAGGCGGCAGTAGAGTTAGGAAATATTCGTCTTAGCGTTGCACGAGTATTCCACACACAAACAGAAAAGAAAATGTAAACACCAGAGTTTTTACGTGGAAAACCCAAAAGAGGGAAAAAACCACGGGGTCTCGCCCAGTTGCAAAGTTCCACTAGTATTTATTTGAAGTACAAAGGTTGATCCGTCCTACAAATCAAGACGATCAATTTACAATCAACTTATCACAAAGTTACAAAGTTCTGCGAATTCCCGGCGTTTCCCAAAAAACCGGCAGAGTTCCGACGTATTCAGGCGACGGGAAGAGCTCCGGCGTTGGTCGAGGAGGAGGGGATTCGCCTTTTCCCCTTTTCCTTCTTAAAATATATGTTTAGTAACAAATATATTGAATCTAAACTTATCATTGAATGATACTTGACCATATTAGCAGGTAATTTGTAAGTAAAATCTGAAAATGATGCGAGGTTTAAGTGAGTGTGGAGAGTATCGAAAACGACTCTGGAATCTACTCTCACAACAAATAGTATAAGGTCCAAATGATCCCAAATATACATCATCACCTCTTATTTACAAAGTTTATAGGGCTACAGGGAATGCTACACTAGAAAAAAAATAAAAAGTACAGTGTATGATATGACTATCACAGACTGATACAAACACGTGGCTTTATATGTTGATGGCCACGTGGATTCCAGCCTCTAGTTTGTTTCTTTGTTTTGAGATAAGTCCGTTGGGCAAGTCTTTGATAGCGAGTGTTTGTGGTAAGATTCAGGATCTAGAATGTTGGGCGAGTCTATACAGATGAGTTCTCTGGTGGTGCGGGTGAGTCCATAGAGTTGTTGCTCGGATCTCCGATCATGATCATGGGTGACCTTCCTTACATTGAAATGATCACTAATCAAGAATGGACTCAATTTGGGAAGCCACAAGTGAAGGCATCCAAGGCATAATGTGCTTCCTGTAGCTAGATCAAGAATATTAGCAATAGGTCTAAGAGTGGTCTAGATTATTCTTATGATGGATTTTGCTGGGAATGATCATTGCTTTACCTAGCTTGCAGAGATGAGCCTTCCTTAGGTTATCCTTCAAGGGATAGTGGCTGTGAATCAACGAGTTAGGCTAACCAACATGATATAGTGACTTTTTTTAGTGTGTTCTTCTGATGACGATGCGACTGTTTTTGGTTAAATCTCATGGTGGAGAATTGTTAGGTATTTGTAGATCAATTGCATGAATATGTATGAGCATTGGGGGTATCAATTATTTAAGTTGAAAGTTTAAAAAATTATATTGGAGACTGTTATTTTGAACTCCGATTTCAACAAACTTACAATCAAATTGAATGTATCGAAAATACGTACCCAACGACACCAAATTCGACTCAATCCAAGCCCAAACGAGTCCAAATCAAAAACCCGAAGCTCATTTAGAAGGTTCAATCCATATTTTGGATTACCAAACAGGTTCCAAATATGACATGCTTTAAGTTGAATCGAGCGGCTCGACGAAACGAATCCAACGAGCCCAAGATTGTCAAATTTTGATATCATTAAGACATAAATGCCCAGTAAATGATCCATGATCAAGGGAATCATATCGGAAGTCCATTCAATCTTGAGTAAATTTTAGTTGAAATTGAATTAAAATGATTGAATTTGAAACTCACTTAAATTAACTGAAATGAAAATATTTTAAAGAATCTCGAGTAAATTTTAGCCCTCGATCCAAACGGTCTGCTTTGTTTTCTGCTTTGCTCCTCTCCACGACTCATAACTCACGACCTCGAGCATAACATTAATTTTCTCTTTCGCTCCTCTCTCGCCCACAAACGGAAACCGCCGGTGGCAGATATTTATGTCTTCTAAGCTCTAAAGACCATGTTATTTGCATTCTTAATTTTGATATTACAACTTCTCTTGGCTCCGGTAATGAGACATCAAACAAAATTATTTTAATTTAGGTCCCCATGAATAAAATTTCTGACTCCACCACTGTGTATGAGTATATAAAGACTCATATAAAGATATGTGCCATGTACATATTGTATCGTGTCCATATTAATATATCATGATTAATAAAAAAAATATGAATAAGCTTAAATTTAATAACTATTATAAAAGTTATTTTCGATATTCAATTTATTTAGTATTGGGCTAAGTAATTATGAAGTCAAATATAAATGTTTTTATTAGAATATATAAAATAGGTTTAAATATTTCGGAAAATAAGTTTATTATTCCAGAATGTTCTATAGCCGTTAATCTCTTCTTTACTCTAAGCTGTACTCTATATATAGATTGTTACTATTTTGTGAAAGGATACAACAACAACAACAACATCAAGCCTTTATCCCACTACGTGGGGTCGGCTACATGAATCCTTTTTCTCCATTGTGTCCTATTAAAAGCCAAATTCTCGTTTAAATCTAATAAAGAAAGGTCATTATTTTTATTATTATTCATTTTTTAAGTTTTCTATTTCATTGTTATTATTATTATTATTTACTTTCTTAAGTTTTTGTCTAATATTTCAAAATATTATATTGAAATAAAATGAAAAAGTTGCGTCCAGGAGTATTCGCGTCGGTAGAAAAATATAAAGTTTATCGTCTTAGCGTTGTACGAAAATCCGGCACACAATCAGATAAGAGAAATGATCTAGCATTTATGAGACACCAAGATTTTTACGTGGAAAACCCCTGAAAAGGGGAAAAAACCATGGGGCCTAGCCCAATTTGAATGAATCAACTAGTATTGCAGTTTATTACAAATGAGCCCTTCCTTGGTGGAAGGTCTTAGCTTGATGTGCATCTTATGGAGTTCATTACATTATGTTAATACAAAGAGTCATTGTTGACATGTTCGTTTGGTCGGAAGGACTGTAGTCGGGGGTCGACGGAGGTCGGAAGACTTGTAGTCGGTGGGCGACGTATGTCTGGAGGACCGTAGTCAGTTGGCGACGGAGGTCGGAAGGACTGTAGTCGGCAGGTGACGTAAGTAAGGAGGACCGTAGTTGGCGGGCAACAAAGGTCAGAAAGACTGTAGTTGGCGGGCGACATAAGTCAGGAGGACCATAGTCGACGGGCAACAGAGGTCGAAAAGACTGTAGTTGGCAGGCGGCATAAGTCAGGAGGACCGTAGTCGGCGGGCGACGGAGTTCGAAAGAACTGTATTTGGCTGACGACATAAATCAGGAGGACAGCGTCAGGTAGAAGTCCAGCAATGGAAAAAAATCCATCTTCGCGTAGACGTCCAGCGAAGTCCGACAACCGGTAAAAGTCCGGCATGGGTAGAAACTTGGCGAAAAGTGAAGGTTCGACCTCGGGTAGAAGTCCGACGTCTGTTGGTGGCAAAGGAGAACTCCGGCTTCACTTGGGCGGAGTTTCAGCGTCAGAAGAAAAATCTATTGCAAATTGAGAAGAATTTCAGCATCACATGGAAGTTGGGAAGAATTCCTGCGATCTCCCGAATATCACGCAGAATCCCGGTGTGTTCGGGCTGCAGGAAGAGCTCCGGCGGTGGTCGAGGAGGAGCTTCTTCCTTCTCCTCCTTCTTCTCTTCTTCTTCTCTCACTTCACTTGAGTCCCTTTTTGTAGAATGAGGGCAATATTTATAGTTTACCTTGAGTGGCATAGCTCGTAAATAGGTGTGAGATCGCGGGCGAATAGGGAGTGGTTTGAATGGACGGTCGATATTGAACCCTTCGATCATGCACCATTCGTTGGACATTTGGAGGCCTTAATGATGTAGGAATTTGGCGATCTTGTCTAGTCGAGCCACTCGATTCGAGTATAAGCTTGTCAAAATTGGAGACCGTTAAGTAACTTAAATTGCGGTTTGAACCTTCCAACAGCGCTTCGATTCCTTGATCCGGGCTCATTTGGGCTCGGATTGGGTTGAACTTTGTGTCGTTGGGTTCGTATTTCCGAGACGCTTAGTTTGACTGTAAGCTCGCTGAAATCAGAGTTCGGGTGCTTTCGGATTTAATTTTTGAAGTTTCTAGGTAGCTTTTTGCTTCAAGATTCGTGCCCGATCAATATAACTTTAAAACGACGTATCAGTTGCCCCCCTATTTTCGGACGTCGAAGCTCCAGGAGTTTGAAAATAATTGTTCTAAAATTTTACATAGGCCGAATCGCAAAAAAATTGCTTTCCAAAAGTTGAATACTTACACAAACTTGCCCATAGAGGCCATGTTGAGCTCTGAAAGTGTCGAAATCAAGTCTGGAACGTCGAAAATATGTCTGTGGACCCCAAAAATGTTGATCTTGAACTTGTCGGGGCGAAAAACGGCCCAGGAATGGGCCAGGAGGCTGAACCGGCCGGACCGACCGGCCGGCCGCCGGCGGCGGCGGTGGCGTGGCACAAGTTTTTCGCGCCCGTGTGCTGCGGCCGCGCGGAAACAGAGGCTCGCGGGAAGATGTCCACTCGGCACACCCCGCGGTCAGCGGAAAGGGTGCCAGGGCTGCACTGCGCGGGTCACGCGGAAATGGGCCTGGCTTTGCCTGGGCTGCGCGGGACACGCCTGCGGCGGCTTGCTTGCGACTGGACACGCGATCCACGCTGTGATGCCCGCGGATCGGCGTGCTGGTAGCGTCGATTGCACGTGAGGACTTGGTCGGTTGGTGCGCCGGTAGGTTATGCGTTGAGTGGAGCCCACAGACAACGAATAGGATAGATGGTCGTGTTTTGCATAATTTTTGGGTTTCAAAAAATTCTCAAAAAATTTAGAAAAAAATTTAGAAAAAATATGAAAATCGAA